GCTCTGTCTTGCAGGTCCTGCAGAATGTTGAGACTCAGGACTAGTTGCTAAATTCTCCTTTTGACCTGTCATGGTTCTTGTTTTTATCTTGTGGAGAACTGATGTATAATCAGAGGGTATTCATAGGAGTATTACCCAGAACTAGTAGCATTTCTGTCAGCAGCAAAGACCGGCCAGGATTTTCTGTTAACAAATGTTGATATTTTTTCTAACAGCAAAGGTAAAGGTTTCCCTTGCTCGAAAGCTAGTCAAATCTGACTCTAGGGGGCGATGCTCATCTCCGTTTCCAAGCTGAAGAGCCAGTGCTGTCCGAAGACGTTTCCATGTTCATGTAGCCAGCATGACTAAACGCCGAGGCGCACGGAACACTGTTACCTTCCTACCGGAGCGGTACCTGTTTTATCTACTTGCAATTTCTTGCTTTCGAACTGCTAGGTTGGCAGGAGCTGGGACCAGAGACGGGAGCTCACTCCATCATGCGGCACCAGGGTCTCGAACTGCTGAACAACAGACCTTCCAGTCTGCAGCTCAGCGTCTTAACCTCTGAGCCACCGTGGCCCCCTCTAGCAGCAAAACCATGACTCTAATCCTGTTGCCCTGTTTGATTTGTTGATGTTTTGAATTGTTGATGACCACCGGTACAAAACGATGAGCCAGCCTTTAGTCCTTGGGAGCGTGCTTTATGTTTTCCTGTGTGTGCCCATGAGCAGAATGCATTTGATAAATGAAAACAGGGCTGCGTGAAAGGAAAACAGTGCATGGAAGATGGCAGGGGAAAGCCTCTTGGGGTGGACTGTCAGTAAACTGCCGGGTTACCATGAAGTTGTTTAAGAAAAGCCTGCCTACTATGTCATAGGCATATCTGCTGCCATTTCTCATTATTCCAGGGGTGGACTAGGAATGTTTCAGAAGCTGGTGACACTCCATGCCGCTTCTTTGACCAGGTTTCAGAATCAAGTTATGAGTCATACAGCCAGTGGTAGGAGCATGTTTCTCTTGCAAGATGCTTTACAGTTCTGTCAGTATTTCCGCAAGGGGGATGACTCTTTGACTGTTGCGTGCTTTTTCAAGTGAAATATTTGTTCCTTTAAAGGGTCTGAGTGATTCAGGTGACGCTAGGTGTCAGTCAAGTTCCGTGGCATTTCAGTCTCCTAACCTTGCTGGTCCTGCTTGCACCAGCCGTCGTTGTATTGGCATCAAAGCGCCTTTGCCTCCATTCATTTTGGGGTGGCGTCATTTCTGGTTTATTCCTCATTTTCTGCGCTGCTTTTTGAATGTTTGTAATGCATGTGCACAAAGAGGAACTATGTGATAAAAGAGCGCCGGTGAAAAAGCTACTGTAGAAGGCTGCAGTACTTACATGTGAGCAGGGGTCATTGAGCTGCGGTGGCTCAAGTGGTTAAGACGCTGAACTGCAGGCTATGGAAGGTCAGTAGTTCAGCAGTTTGAGACCCGAGTGCCGCATGACGGAGTGAGCTCCCGTCTCTGGTACCAGCTCCTGCCAACCTAGCACTTCGAAAGCAAGAAATTGCAAGTAGATAAATAGGTACCACTTTGGTGGGAAGGGAACAGCGTTCCGTGCGCCTTGGTGTTTAGTCATGCCGGCCACATGACCACGGAAACGGCTTCGGACAGCGCTGGCTCTTCGGCTTTGAAACGGAGATAAGCACCGC